ATTTGATCCAGTGATTTCACTTCTAGAAATATCTTCTAAGAAACCTGAAACACCAATCAGGAAAAATACATGTACCCTTATGTTCATAGCAGCACTATTTACAATTGTTAAGACTTGGAAACAGCCCAAGTATTCATGTATAGATAAATGGATAAAAAAAACTGTGGTACATATACACAATGGAATACCATGCAGCTGTAAGAAACAAAAATATCTTATCCTTTGAGACGACATGGAGAGACCTGGATAGTATTATCCTAAGCAAAACAAGCTAATCAGAGAAAGACAAATATCACACGATCTCACTTATTTGTGGAATATAATGAACAAAACAAGCTGAGGAATAAAAAAAAAATAGACCCAGAGACATGGAAGTGGGGTGCATACTGATAAACTTCAGAATAGGTGGATGTGGGGGGAGGGAAGAGATAGACCATAGACCTTATACACATATATGCATAAACAAGAAAAAAGACAATAATGCTGGGGGGGGGGGGCAGGATTGGGAGGAGGGTGTCAATGGGGGAATAAAGGAGAAACACCTGTAACAAAAAATAAATAAAAAATAAAATAAAATAAGGAATAAATCAAATATCACTTTGGGCATAAGGAATGAAAAACTGTTTTGGTTGTGGGGACTGCTGATTTAGTTGGTCTCAAGCATATAAATATTTGAAACACTGTCTTCTTAGAACCAGTGAGGTCTTTATCACTCTATTATGCCTTTATTCATTTTGAAATATTCATATATAATGTGAATTTAATATCATAATTTTGTTGCAGTTATTGAGAAATCTGACTTCTGGTTAAAAAACCTATGTGTGACTTTCAGACCCACCCATAGGAAATTACCTCAAGGATATTTTCTTCAAAGAGGACATCTGTCTTCTCCCCTACCAGATTTGTTGAACAGCAGGTACATTGCAGTCACTCAAGGGAGTTACAGTCAAGGACATGGGCCTTTGTTGACTAGCCTTGCTCTTATGCATACTTGCATTCCTAGTCCAGGTGATTTCATTCCTAGTCTCTTTATCTAGAGTATTTCTCATGTGACTTGGTTGAGCTCTCTTGATTTATCAGAGGGAGGAGACAGACATCTTTAGGACATTTTCCCACTTTGGTTCCCAATTTTTTTACTCCTGGCCTTCTTTCTCCTTGTCCTCCTGACTCTTGGGCCTCTTGCTCCAGGCCCCCTCAACAGTGAGGCAACCCTCACGTCTATGCTAATCCACCTGGTCCTCAAGCTCTATACTATTCCATGGAGAGAAATAAAACAGAGAGTAGTTGGTGCTATCTTCAGTATTACCTCTTGCTTATACTATCACATTCAGTGATTGAGGGCTTGATTATTTTTTACTTTTGACTTTTTATTTTAATCAACTCCTCTAACACCTGACAGCTCAGTGCTCTCACTCCAGCTCAGCTGAACTCTGGAAAAATGTTATAATAATAAAAGCATATAACTAACAAAATTAGCAATCAATAATTGCTTTTTTGCACAGCAAAGGAAACCATCAACAAGACAAAAATTCAACCTACTGAATGGGAAAAGATATTTGCAAATGATGTATTGATAAAATATACAAAGAACTCATACAATTCAACATAAAATAAAACAAAATACCCAAACAATCCAAATGAAAATGAGTGGAGGACCTGAAGAGATATTTCTCTAAAGAGAACATGCAGATGGCCAACAGACACAAGAAAAGATACTCCACATCAAGGAAATGCAAATCAAAACCACAAAGAGATATTACTTCACACATGCCAGAATGGCAATCATCAAAGAGATAACAAATAGCCAGTGATGGCAAGAATGTCCAGAAAAGGGAACCCTTGTGCCTGGTGGTGGGATTGTAAATATGTGCAGCCACTATAAAAAACAATATGGAGATTCCTTAAAAGTTTAAAAATAGAACTACTATATTACCCAGCAAGTTTACTTTTGAGTATTTAAGCCAAAGAAAACAAAAACTGATTTGAAAAAAGGTATATGTACTCCTATATTCATTGCAGGATTGTTTGAATAACCAAAATATGAAAGCAGCCTAGGTATTCATTGATAGATAAATGAGTAAATAAGATGTGATATTTTGTCAATGAAATATACTCAGCCATAAAGAAAGAATGAAATCTTTCATTTGCAACAATAGGAATGGACCTCGAGGATATTATGTTAAATGAAATAAGACTAAGAAACACAAATACCATATGATTTTCCTTATATGTGGAATTAAACAACCAAAATAAATCAACAACAACAAAAAACAAAACAGAAACAAATGCATAGATATAGAGAACAAACTGATGGTTGCCAGAGAGGAAGGGGTCAAAGTTGAGCAGAAAGGGAAAGGGGATTAAGAAGTATAAACTTTCAGTATAAAAGAAGTAATGGTGATGTAAAGTAGAACATAGGGAATAGAGTCAATAATATTGTAATAACTATATACAGTGATGGATGATTATTAGACTTATTGTGGTGCTCATTTTGTAAGATATGTAAATATTAAATCACTATGTTGTACAACTGAAACATAATATATTTCAACTAGAGTTAAAAATAAATTCAAATTAATTATTTATTTGGAAAGAGTTGTTCAACATGCCCTTTTAACTATTATCTTACATACTCATATCTAGAATAGAGAAAGGTAGATTTTGACTAAAAGATACTGAATTTGGGCACCATGCTATTAGAAGTACCACCAAATTCTAAGAGAAAATAAAAATAGCCTAATGGAAGAAATAGAATAAAAAATCAGATTCCTGGCAGCAATCCTCTCTTCCATTCAATAATTTCCACCAAAGCTAAGAACCCCAAACAAATTCAGGAACAGTCAGTTATCCCTTGTAAATGGAGTAAAAATATCAGGGACTACAGCAGACCTGTACTCTACATTGGGGGGGGGGGCTCTCCTTGGTGACTATAGTCTCAAATATGCCAGATATGGTAGCCTTGAGTGGTTCATTTCTGGCCACTGATGTGGTGATGTTCACAGAGGTCATCTCAGGCAGGGGTCCTGTCCACTCCTACAGCACTGCTCTCAGAAACCAGGACAAATCTTTCATGGAACCAGTGCCTGAGAAAGTTGTGGTTTTCCAGGACTGAATGTTTGTGAATGATGTAGATGGTGTCAGTCTTAAGGAAGGAGGAAGTGAAGTGAGGACTCTGGATTTCCTTTCTTCAGAGAAACTGGAGGAAGGTGAAATTAAGCTGGGGAAAAACACTGGGAAGGTAGAAATCTGGTTTCTTCTTCAGGGGAAGGGCTTCTCCATGACCGAGTCTCTGGACCTCAGAGTCTCTTGCAGGAGTAGTCATCTCTGAGAGTAGAAATCTCTGAATCAAAGCCATATCTGTCCCTTTCCAGAAAGCTATGATTGTTTTATCCAGAATAAGTGCACCCCCAGGTGTAGCCCTAAAGAGACCTCTTGGTGTGGTCAAGGTAATGTGTGAAGATTTCATCATGGGAGAAGAGGTAAAAGAGTTGGTGTTGGCTCCTTTGGAGATATTGGGTGTCTACAAAGATGGAGTAGGGACTGGGCTAGATACTCTGTCAGAAAAAAAGTGAACTCAGTCCTGGTGACATCAGTGGTAGCAGTACTGGACACTTGAGAAAGGACAGTGCTTCTGTCTGTGGTTGAGCTGGTATCCTGGGAATTACTGGTCTCTCTCAATCCAGAGGTTTAAGTGGAAGCAGATTCTTTCCAAGTTCTGGTAGATGCAGGATAAATGGATAATGATGAAGACATAGTGGTCTCCACAGTGTACACAGAAACCATTTAAGAAAGGTTTTGTTTGATTCTGAGTGTATGGAAGCAGAGGAAGGTGGTCCAGAGCCAAAACAGATAGAACAATGAGTAACCACTGCTGCATCTGTCAAAGGATTTGTCTCCACGTCTATGGTGGCCTTGGGAGTGGCCAATCTATCCTGTGAGTTATTGATCAAAATGATAGGTGTAGTGGTTCCAGATTTTATGGTTGTGCCCACAGGATATATGGTCTCCAGTGATCCAGGAAATTGAGTAAACTCAGAGATGAGAAAGATTGATGTCATCTCTGTGGTCAGTAGCGTGGTTGAGGTTGTCTGTATTTTACTTCTAGAGATAGATGAATCTATAATCTTCAATATAGGAGACTTTAGACTTTGTTCCTGGGCACTTGAATTGAGAATTACAGTTCTTACTGCGGATGTGGTCTCTCCAGGAAGAGTAACCGTGCCTGTGGAATTATGTCTTGAAGTTGTAAAAGTCATGGTGAGAGACAGAACAAAACTCTGCTCTGGATCTCTGCTGGTGAGCACAAGATTTCCTGTGACAGACACTTCAGTGCTACTCACCATTTGAGGTAATGTGACCCCACCTGTCATGACCCCTGAGGGGGTGGCAGCAGTAAGGTGGATGAGCTATCACTGGATCCCAAGGTGAGTTCTCAGGATCTTGTGGCTCCCACATCAATTGAACCTGTTATAGATGCTAAAGACATAGAACTTCTATTAGCCAAGTCCAAGGTGAACAAATCAGTCATAAAAGTGGGAGGAGAGATATTTATATCAGTCCATGTGCTTGGCTTATGAGAAAAAGTGATGGGAGTACGGTTATTTCAGGGCTTTGGGGAGTCAAGTTTGTATCTGAAATCTCAGGGAATGAGGTGCTCACCCCTTGGTCATCAGAAATAGTTGCAATGGGAGCAGATCTAGTTGTGTCCTCTAGACTTAAAGTTTTCTATCGTGCTGACCTCAGTGACTTTACCTGACTACGAGGAGAGTAGGGTGGCCACTCTGGTTCCAGTGGAAGCTGAAGAATAATGGGTAGAGCCTACTTCCATGGCCAATGCTAAGGAAGAAAGTGTCCCCCCTATAGAATTGATGTCAGGCAAACCAGTGACATGTAAGTGAACAGCTGTGTCTGTGACAGTCTATGAAGAGGTCCCCATTGCTTGGGTGCTATCTGTGGTCTAGACCCTCTTCTCTGGATAAGGCATTATAGTTAAAACCAACCTTGCTATCCTGGGACTGGAGGTGATCACCTCTAGAATGAGGGCTTCACTCTTGCTTGTTAGTTCTTCAGGAGATGATGTCACAGAAAGAGACCACAGTGGAGATATAGTGTCAGTGGTCTCTAATTCTGAGATGGACTCAGACTTGGGCCCCACTAAATGGGAGGTTTCAGATATAGAGGAGCCAATTTTCTCTTGCCACACTGATGAGACTGATAGTATCTGAGCTGTCTGCTCTATCAGAAGTGCAAGGAGTAATGTGGCCTGTAGGGATGGTAATAGCTGTGTCAGTGTCCACAGAAGAGGCACTCAGTATTAGGTCCCTTCCAGATGTCTGCTCTGACCATGGGAAGCCTTACCCATAGGTCCACGTATCTTCTGTTCAGTTGTCTGTCTTTATACCCAAGGCAGTAAAAAAAATGACCATGGTATTGACCCATGCCATGGTTCTAAGTTTCGATTTATTTGTCACTGAACTTGTGATTTGCTTGGAGATTGTAACTAAGTTGCTGCAGAGTCTTGAAGGCCAGTGAAGGTGCTCAGCAGGACGTGTATGTCTACTGTGGTCCCCACAGTGGAACCAAGCCATTTGAACAAGTTTATTTCAATTGTCTTAGGAGTCAGAATTGAACTGACTTGCTGAACATTCCCTGTGGAGCCTAAAGGAGTTGATTCTGAGAGTAGGGAGGACACTGTTCCTCTTGCCTGGTTGGTCCCTTCTGGTGTCCCAGAGTATATACAGATCAAGCCTCAGCTGGATATGGGGAGTGTAAGATTCTATTTGTAGCTACTGCCATTTCCATAGAGAATTCTGCTGGCACCATAGTTAACTGTGGGCAGGTGAGAAGTCTGGTGCTGCCACTCTCTGTGGCCATGAACTGAAGGGTGGCTGGTCATGGTGTAGTCTCCACAGCAGCTGTCTCTGTTAGAGTTTCCCTGAGAGAAGTTTTCACAGTGATCCTAGTCTCATGGTTGCTACTGGGCTCCTGCGAGCTTGGATTTATATCTTCAGATGTTCCTGGGCTTCTGGTGGGCAGGGATGCGACTGAAATAGCTCTTCAGTTATACAGTTTGCAAAAAGGTGAAAAAAGGGGGCTCCTCTAGTTTTGATTCTTCTTCTTCTCTCCTTAAAACTCAGTTGGACACACTCCATAGTCTGCTCCTTTAGATGGCAGGAACCATATTATCCATGATTGTGTCTAATGGTGTATGAGCTTAGTCTATGATCAGATTGTAGAGCTTATTTTGGCACCATAAATTTCTATATCAGTGTAACCCATGTGGACCTCTGTACCACATCTCAGGTCTCAGTGGAGAGTAAAGATTGTGCCCAGGTAGGTAGGGGGACTCTCCTTTCTTTTACTCAGGTTTTCCTCCTTGGGTGCCAGCTTTAATCAATATATTTTAGCCTGATATCTACCTTTCTTCTCTAAAACTCTCACTTAAAATTATTAGTCTAATTGAAAGGTAGCTCTGTGGCTTAACAAATTAGGGGAAGAGGTAGATCCAGGCAGCTTATTTCCTCTATATTTGCATGTTATTTCACCTCTCTCATCTGGAAAGAAGAGAACCACGTCACCTTATAGAATAGAAAGACATGCCAAATTATTGCTTTCAGGAATCAGGACAGCTGTACTCATCAACCTAAGCACCTCAAGTGGACATCTTGAAAGCCATAACAATGGACAATAATTTTTCACCTTATACTGTAATCACTTCAGTGATGAGTTACCCCATAGTATAAACCTATGACAACCCAGGTTTACCTTTCCCCATTGATGGCAATTCCTGACCTTAGTGAGGATGTCTGATTTAGGAAGGACCTTCATAATTGTTCAGCTGATTTGTAGAGATGTAATGTCTGTCCCTGAGGATTATATGGCTCTTGAACATATAAATTACTAAGTAGAAGTACTTCATATTAGAAGTAAATAATTCTCCCCCAATTATTATCAATAGCCTCTGTGTATGACAGCAGAAAGTTATGATTATCTACCAGAACCTGGGGCTTGGGAAATCAATTAGTTTACTCCAGAGACCAGGAGAAAAGGCTCAAGCTTAGTATACATAGAAGATGATCATACATACTCAGACTAATGACAGTCACCAGAGATGTGAGGCCATCCACTGACCACGTGGTGCCTCCCTGTGGCCCCTCACTCAGTGCCATGGTGGCAGTTCCTACAGACTCCTCAAGCTCTAGAGGAGAAAAATCAAGAGTGTCATTCTAGAATTTCCTCAACGTGCGTGTGTATGAGATATACTGTTTCTAGACACTGGTGCAGCATTGTCCTTATCTGTCTCTGGATTATAATTATTGAAGAGATTCTTACTGATGATGGGGCTGCTAAATTTATTGGTCTCAAACAAAAACATCTGGTAATATTCTGTTTCTATCACTTGTAATTTGTGAATTTACCATTGGTGAAGGTTTTCCCTCCCATATTTGAACTCACTGTTACATAAAATCATAATATCATGAGTCATTATATCATATTAGTTAACAGGTAAATTTGTCTTGAATACTCACTTCATCATTTTTTTTCTTTCTTTCTCTTTGTTTTTTGGGTTTTTTTTTTTTTTTTTTTGGTACCTGCCTCTAGCGGGAACCAAACCTGGGACTCTCTGGTCCGCAGGCTGATGCTCTAATCACTGAGCAAAACCAACCAGGGCCATCATTTTCATTTATCATTATTTTATAATTATTATAATACATACTTCATATCTGGGAAGGGGAAAGACATGCTTTGACTGGAAGGAACTGAATTTGGGCTCAAGAATGTTGGAAGTTACTAGTCACATAGAGAGAGTAGAATAATCCTACTAGATATTTAGAAGCAGAAAGGGGAATCTTAGAAGGAATTTTCTCTTCTTCTCATTCAATTGTATTCACCAAAACTCAGAACTCCGACACAAAAGAAGTCAGGAACTGGGTTAGTACTTGTAAATAGTATAGAGTTGTCAGGAGCTGAAACTGAGCTGGGCTTTACATCTGGAGCCCTCTCTTTGCTGGTGGTAGTCTCAGCTATGCCGTAAGTGGTGGCCCTCGGTGGCATGGTCACTAATGCAGTGTTGTCCATCTCAGGGGTCCTGTCCTCTTCTGTAGCAGTGGGCAGGGACTAGGGGGAACCTTCTGGGGTGCCAGTGCCTGGTGAAGCTGGGGTTTTTGGGGATTGAATGTTTGTGGATGGTATTAGTTCTGAGGCAGACAGAGGAGAATTGGGGTCTCTGGATCTCTCTGCTTTGGAGGAAATAGAAGAAATTGAGGTTGAGCTTAAGACAGGTACCAGGGGAGAGAGGGATTTGGTCTCTTCTGCAAAGGAAGGTCTTGTGTGTGACTGGACCTCTATACTTCTACTCATAAGAGCAATCATCTCTGAGAGTGGAAAACCTTGAGTCTCAATAGAGGGTGTCCCTTGCCAGGAGGCTGTGGTTGTGGTGTTTAGAGTGGGAGAACTCTTTGTTGTAGCCCTAGATGAATTTGGTATGGTAAAGGGCAGGTGTGAAGAATCTGCAATGGGAGGGGAGGTGGAATGCTTTATATTGGTTCCTATAAAATTGTCAGTGTCACCTACTGACTGAGTAAAGTCTGGGCTAGATATTCTGTCAGAAGAAGTGACCTCAGTCCTGGTGACTTCAGTCATAGCAGCACTGGACACTTGGGAAAAGACACAGGCTTGTGTCTGTGGCTTTGCTAGAATAATGAGAAGTACTGGGCTCCCTCAGTCCATTAGTTTGTGAGAAAACAGACCATTCATCAACCCTTGCAGATGTAGGACAATCAGAGGTTAATGTTGAAAGGTTAATGTTGACGGCCTCCACGATGAAGGCAGTAACCAATGATAATGTGACTTTGTGTGGTTCTGGGTGGGAATGGGCAGAACATAGTTCAGCTTCAGAACTTGTTGCTCAGATGGTGGATATCACTGCATCTGTGGAAAGATAAATCCCCTTTGTGACTGTAGTGTCTGTGGTAGTCTCAGAATCAGCCAGTGTCTCCATGAAGATATTGATCCAAGTTAGAGATGGACTGTTCCTAATTTCTCTGATCACACCCAGCAGATATGTGGTTTTCATCAGATCAGCTGAGTGAGTAACTGCACTTATGAACCCCAGTGAGGTGGCAGACACCCCTCTTGTCTCAGTGGTCACTGGTGTCATGGAGGCTGTTTGTGCCTCACTCCTGGAAATGGGTAAAGCTGTCATTTCTAGTGTAAAAGTCTTTAGGTTATATCTCTTGGACCTTGTATTCAGAATTAGAATCACTTTAGGAGGGGTCATTGCTACTGGAGATTTGTGCCCTGACATTTTAAATGCCATGGTGCGAGTTGAGGGAGAATTCTGCTTGGTCCTCGTGCTGGTAAAGATTATTGTTTTTATGACAGTCACTGCTGTGTTGCTGACCAAGCAAAGATGCTTGACCCCATCTGTCCTTGACCCTGCAGAGGATTCTTATATGGAGCTAGATGGGTTGGTTTTAGGTTCCAACATGAGTTTTTGGGAACTTGTGTCTCTCTGAGCAGTTGAACCAGTGATGGTTGCTGATGATGAATATTCCGTAGTTGTCAAGTTAAAGGTAGAGTCATGGTCAGGTAGAGAAGTGTGAAGGAGTCATTTATATTAGTCTGTTTGCTTGGCTTCTCAGAAGTAATGGAAGCATAGAGTGTTGTTAGTTCAGGGCTTTTGGAAATCTGACTTATACCTGAAATCTCAGGGAATGAGGTGAACATCTGCTGATCATCCAAAGAAGTTATAATGGGATGAGATGTAGTTATGTCCACTAGACTCAAAGTTCTAACACTTATGCTGACTTCAGTGACTAGCTGAATAAGAAGATGGCAGGGTGTCCAAACTGGTTTCAGTGAAAGTTGTAGAATGTTGGGTAGAGCCTGATTCAGTGATTATTGTTTCAGAATAATGTATCTTTCTTGTAGAACTGGCCTTGGGCAAATTTGTAACATGTAAGTTGGCATCTGTGTTTATGACAGTCAATGGGGTATCTATGCTAGACCCGCATGGCCGGGAACTGTCCTTGGTGCTGAAACTCTCCTTAGGCTAGGTGTTACTATGGGAAGTAAGCTTGTTGGCCAGTGCTTTCTGTTTGTGACAATTGGAGTGGGAGCTTTATAGCAACCCCAACTAATCACCCTAGTAGAAAATGAAGATTCAAGTGAAATCCCAGGTGAAGAGGCAGCTTTATGTGTCTCCACTTCTGTCATAAAGTTATAAATCTTTTGCTCCACTGACAAAGATACTACAAGTGTAGGGGAAATTAATTCTCCTTCTAAGCTACTGGTAAAGCTCATGGTGGACTGACCAAGTTGTGAAGTAAATAGGGATATACTTGTCTCTGTTTATGCACTTCAATGGTCATAATGAACTGTGGAAATATGTCAAGTTGATGTTACTTCTGCCTCTGTATTTCTGTGTGCAATGTTTTTTTATTTTTATTTTTTATTTATAATAATTAATTTATTTTTGTTACAGATGTTTCTCCTTTTTCCCCTACTGATTCCAGCCTCCCCCTCACTCTCCACCCTGTCCTCAGCTTTGTTGTCCATGTCCATTGTTCACGCAGACATGCATATAAGTTCTGTTGTTTAACTCTCCCCCACCACCCCCTCTTCTGGGGATTGTCAGTCTGTGGGACTAACCATTCCTCAGACGGTTATGTTCATTATATTCCACAAACAAGTGAGATCATATACTTGCCTTTCTCTGTTTGGCTTGTTTTGCTTAGGATAATACTCACCAGGTCCATCCATGTCATTGCAAAAAATAAGAGATCTTTCTTTCTAATAGCTGCATAGTACTCCATTGTGTATATGTACCACAGCTTTTTTTATCCATTAGTCTACTGATGGATATTTGGGCTGTTTCCAGATCTTAGCTATTGTAAATAGTGCTGCTACGAACATGGGGGTGCATATATTCTTTCTGATTGGTATTTCAGGCTTCTTAGGGTATATTCCCAGAAGTGAGATTACTGGGTCAAATGGAAGATCAATTTTTAATTTTTTGAGGTAACACCACATTGTTTTCCATAGTGGCTGCACCAGTCTGCATTCCCACCAGCAGTGTACTAGAGTCCCCTTTTCTCTACACCCCGCCAACACTAGTTGTTTGATGATTTGTTGATGGTGGCCATTCTGACAGGAGTGAGGTGATACCTCATTGTTGTTTTAATTTGCATCTCTCTGATGATTTGTGATATTGAGCATTTCTTCATATGTCTCTTGGCCACTCGTATGTCCTGTTTAGAGAGGTATCTATTTAGGTCCTCTGCCCATTATTTAATTGGGTTCTTTGTCTTGCTTTTGTTGAGTTGTTTGAGCACTCTGTATATATTGGAAATTAACTCCTTATCTGATATATCATTGGCAATGATGTTCTCCCATACAGTGGGTTGCCTTTCCATTTTGATAATTCTTTTGCTGTGCAGAAGCTTTTTAGTTTGATGTAGTCCCATGTGTTCATTTACTCCTTTGTTTCTGTTGCCTTAGGTGATGTATCAGTGAAAATTCTGCTGCATATGATGTCTGAAATTTTCTTGCCTACATTTTCTTTTAGGATTTTTATGGATTCATGAGTCACATTTAAGTCTTTTATCCATTTTGAGTTTATTCTTGTGTATGGTGTAAGTTGATGGTCTAGTTTCCTTTTTGTGCATGTAGCTGTCCAATTTCCCCAACACCATTTATTAGAGAGGCTGTCTTTACTCCACTGTATGCTCTTGCCACCTTTGTCAAATATTAATTGAGCATATTGCCTTGGATCCATTTCTAGGTTCTCTATTCTTTTCCATTGGTCTATCTACCTGGTCTTGTGCCAGGACCAGGTTGTTTTGATTACAGTGGCTTTGTAGTATAACCCAAAATATGGTAATGTGATCCCTCCAACTTTGTTCTTCTTTTTCAAGATTGCTGTGGCTGTTTGTGATCTTTTTTAGTTCCATATGAACTTTGGAAGCATTTCTTCTAGTTCTGTGAAGTATGGCGTTGGTGTTTTGATGGGGTTGCATTGAATTTATAGATTGCTTTGGGTAATTTGGACATTTTAATGATGTTAATTCTTCTCATCCATGAACAGGATATGTGCTTCCACGTTTTTATATCTTACTCTATTTTTTTTTCAATGACCTGTAGTTTTCTGCGAATAGGTCTCCTTTATTTCTTTGGTTAAGTTTATTCCTAGGTATC